GGGGGTGGTGGTGGTGGGGGGCTGCTCGGCCGTGGGGGGAATGCTCGGGCGTGGAAGTGATGCTGAGACACGGGGTGATGCTCAGGCATGGGGGATGTTCGGGCACGGGGGGATGCTCGGACATGGGGGTGATGCTCAGGCATAGGGGATGCTCGGGCATGGGGGGATGCTCAGGCGTGGGGGGGTATGCTTGGGTGTGCGTGGGATGCTCAGGCGTGGGGGGGAGATGCTTGAGCATAGGGGGTGCTTGTGCATGGAGGAGGATTCTCATGCTGGGTGGCAGGGGTCGGTCGTGCCCAGGAGTAGGTGCTTGGACCCATGGGAGTGGGAGCGATTGGATCAGTGGGGTTGTTCATGCAGAGGGGAGATGCTTTGGGTGCCTGGCAGGTGCCCCCAAGGTGGGGGGAACATGCATGCCTGGGGGGTTCCCATGGAGAGGGGTGCAGGGACCCGCTGCCCTCTGCCCCCCTCTGCCGGGTGCTCACTGTTGAGGCTGGGCACAAGGCCCCGACGCGGGCGCTGCAGCGGTGGGACACCCAGCCCACACCGCACTCGGCTCCTCGCAGGGGCTTCAGCTACGTGGACCTGGTGGAGGGGCTGCGGGACGGGCGCTTCTATGCCCTGAAGCGCATCCTGTGCCATGACAAGGAGGACCGCCAGGCTGCCCTGCACGAGGTGAAGATGCATGGCCTCTTCGACCACCCCAACATCCTGCGTCTGGAGGCCCACTGCATAGTGGAGAAGGGCGCCAAGCATGAAGCCTGGCTCCTCCTACCCTACGTGAAGGTGAGAGGGGCTCCCCCGGTCACCCCCACCCCCTTGCCGCTGGGAAACGGCAGTGGCGACCGGCTGCTTGCGTTTGCCAGGGGGGGACCCTCTGGAGCGAGGTGGAAGCATTGCAAAAGAAAGGGACCTTCATGCCAGAGCAGCGGATCCTCCTCATCCTCCATGGCATCTGCCGTGGGCTGCAAGCCATCCACAGCAAGGGCTACGCGCACAGGTGGGGGGCTGGCAGCCCCAGTTGGGGGGGGGGTTGGCAGGGGGCCCAGCGGGCTCTCGGTGACGTCCATCCCCACAGGGACCTCAAGCCCACCAACGTGCTGCTGGATGAGGATGACCGGCCCGTGCTGATGGACCTGGGCTCCATGAACCGAGCTCGCATCGAAGTCAACAGCTCTCGGGAGGCCATGGCCGTGCAGGTGGGTGCCCTGAGACATCACTCCACCAGCCCATCCCTGCCCTGAGCCCTTCATCCCCACCCTCACCCTCCTCTCTGCAGGACTGGGCTGCCCAGCGCTGCACCATCTCCTACCGTGCCCCCGAGCTCTTCACGGTGCCGAGCCAGTGCGTCATAGACGAGCGCACAGATATCTGGGTAAGGATCCAGCCCCCCGGCCCCCAGCCCCCTGCCGCAGGGCTATGCTGACCCCGCCACGCTCCAGTCCCTAGGCTGCGTGCTGTACTGCATGATGTTTGGGGAGGGCCCCTTCGACGCCATCTTCCAGAAGGGTGACAGCGTGGCTCTGGCCGTGCAGAACCCCATCACTGTGCCTCCCACGACCAGGTGAGGGGCTGGGGAGGGCGACCCTGCCCCCAGGCAGCCCCCTGTGCTGTGCACCGTGCAGACCCCCCGCCCTCGCTGTCTTTCCTCCAGGTACTCGGCTGCCTTGCAGCGCCTGCTCTTCTCCATGATGACACTGAACCCCCAGGAGCGACCCAGCATAAATGAAGTCCTCCACCAGCTGGAGGGGCTGCAGCCAGCGCCGGTGGGCCAGGACACCACACAAATCTGAGCCCGTCCCAGCCCGCGGCAGCGATGCACCCTGAGGATGAACTGGGGGAACAGCGGCTGCCCTTGTCCCTGCTCCCCCGTGGAGCCATTGCAGAGGGGATTGCTGCATTCGGGGAGAGCTGCTGCTCTGTGCCGAAGGCGTGTTGGGTTTGGCGTGTTCTGGATGCTGCTGCCTGGGACTTGGTCTGTGCCCCCGAACTGTGGACGTGTGACCTGCTGCTAAGCACGGGGCCCTCACCAGCCGCTGCCTCCCTTGGGGGTTGCAGAAGAGGATGCTGTGGGACCCCCCAGGTGATGGCAGCTGTGGCCCTGCAGCTCTGTGCCCCAGGAGGGTCACTCCTGCCCGGGGCAGAGCCGCAGTCCAGGTCCCAGTGCAGTGCTGGAGCAAGGTAGGGGGGGACCTGGCCCCCGCTCCACCGCTGCTCTCGGCGCCAGCGTTGCCTTGTGTTGGAGTAAAAGTTGTTCTTGCGGAGGTGTGGACGTGTCCCTGTCTGCAGGAAGGGGGTCCCACCGGGGGCACGAGGAGAGCAGGGCACGCTGTCTGGGTTGAGCAGCCAAGCGTTGCCGGAGGGGAAGAGCAGCAGAGGACAGCCGTGGTGCAGCAGCACAGCCGGAGCATTAGCAATAAGCAAGGAAAGTTAATCCCTGGCCCCAGTGCGCTCCTAATGGGAGTTGTTGACTCTGCAGCTGGAGGCAGGCGCCGCTGTTCAGAGCCTCTGGGGCTGGGCACTGCGGGAAGGGGGCTCAGCACAGCGCAGGCAGGCAGGCGGTGGCAGGGGGACAGGCAGAGCTTCTCGGCTGCCCAAGGAGAGGGAGGTGGGTGCCCAGGCTGGGGAGCTGCCAGAGCTTGGGGGCAAGGAGCAGCAGCCCTGCTCCGATGGGGGTGAGTAGAGCCTGGGAATGGCACAACCACCCTTGGCTGGAGAGGCTCACTGGGACACGCAGTATTGAGCTGCCCGTGGAGGGGTTGGGTAAAAAAAAAAAAGAGATACAGACAAGATGTTTCAAAGGGAGCATTCCCCTCCTTTAATCCTCTCACCACAACACAGCAGAAAAGCAGCCGCGGGGGTTCGTACCATGCTGGATGCCCTTGCAGGGTGCACCCGCGGCACTGCGGAGCCGGCATGCCCCTTGTCCCGCACTGTGGCCACAGGGACAGGGGTGCCAGGCTGCTCCCACTGCTTCAACCACTCTCCTTCCAGGCGAGCCCACCTACCCTCTGGCTGCACGTGGGAAGAAGTCCCAGCAGCTGCAGATTTTTTCCTGCTCAGGCTAAATCTGCTCCCCTGGGCTCCAAGATAAAACATGGGGCCATATACCATGGGGCCACAGACCACACAAGGAAGCGGTACCCACCCCTGCCTGGAGCAGTGAGGGGGGTGGGATGTGTGCCACAGCCCCGGGGAGCGGCCCCGGGGGGTCTTACCTGCACGGGGAGCAAGCCGGAGCTGGAGCAGAGCGCTGGGAGGAAGCATAGCAGCACCAGCAGCAGAGCTGAAGCACTCACCACACACCTGACCTGGCAAGAAACCGATACGGCTGGGGGGCTAGTGGGAGACACGGAGGCTCTGAAATGGTTTATTGCAAAGGGTTTCTGCAGGTAACACGGGGAAGGAGCACAGTCCTTTTTGGCAGGGGCTTCTCTACTCCTCGCCTTCCTCTTCGTCCTCGTAGGAGTCCAGGCCCACCTCCTCGTAATCCTTCTCCAGAGCGGCCATGTCTTCCCGCGCCTCGGAGAACTCCCCTTCCTCCATGCCCTCGCCCACGTACCAGTGCACGAAGGCTCGCTTGGCGTACATCAGGTCGAACTTGTGGTCCAGGCGAGCCCAGGCCTCGGCGATGGCCGTGGTGTTGCTCAGCATGCAGACGGCGCGCTGCACCTTGGCCAGGTCCCCCCCCGGCACCACCGTGGGCGGCTGGTAGTTGATGCCCACCTTGAAGCCCGTGGGGCACCAGTCCACAAACTGGATGCTGCGCTTGGTCTTGATGGTGGCGATGGCGGCGTTGACGTCCTTGGGCACCACGTCCCCGCGGTACAGCAGGCAGCAGGCCATGTACTTGCCGTGGCGAGGGTCGCACTTCACCATCTGGTTGGCCGGCTCAAAGCAGGAGTTGGTGATCTCGGCCACCGACAGCTGCTCGTGATAAGCTCTCTCGGCCGAAACCACGGGGGCATAGGTGGCCAGGGGAAAGTGGATGCGAGGGTAGGGCACCAGGTTGGTCTGGAACTCGGTCAGGTCGACGTTCAGGGCTCCATCAAATCGCAGCGACGCCGTGATGGATGAGACAATCTGGCTAATGAGGCGGTTGAGGTTGGTGTAGGCAGGTGTCGTAGATGGCCTCCTTGTCCACCATGAAGGCGCAGTCGGAGTGCTCCAGGGTGGTGTGGGTGGTGAGGATGGAGTTGTAGGGCTCCACCACGGCAGTGGAGACCTGTGGTGCGGGGTAGATGGAGAACTCCAGCTTGGACTTCTTGCCGTAGTCAACGGAGAGTCGCTCCATCAACAGGGAGGTGAATCCGGAGCCAGTGCCACCTCCAAAGCTGTGAAACACGAGGAATCCCTGGAGGCCTGTGCATTGGTCAGCCTGTGGAGAGAGACGCATGAGATCGCTCTGAGATGGATTTCCTTGTGAACATCTGACTGTTCAGAAGTCCTTCAGGACCTGGTGCATCCCTGCCATGGGCAGCTGCAGAGCCCTCCCAGGGCGCAGCAGGGCTTGCAGCGTGCTCTGACCCCCAGCCATATGCCGGAGCCCAGCCCAGGGGCCCCCTCGGCGGTCACCTACCAGCTTCCGGATCCTGTCCAGCACTTGGTCGATGATCTCTTTGCCGATGGTGTAGTGCCCGCGGGCGTAGTTGTTGGCAGCATCCTCCTTGCCCGTGATCAGCTGCTCAGGGTGGAAGAGCTGGCGGTAGATTCCAGCCCGAACCTCGTCTAGGAGAGAGCAGGGGAGGATTGAGCCTGGTGGAGGCTGTTGGTTTGAGCCGGCCGCCAAGCACCCATCCCTCACCCTCCTCCCGGCTCCGCCTGCGGAGGACGCGGCCAAGGACCCAAACGTCAGCAGGGCCACCATCAGCATCAGGTTTCACCACCTCCCTGAGCAGAAGCTCAGCTTCTCTCACCCATCGGAGCCACCTGTCCACAGTGTGCAGCGGCACAGCAGGAGCTGCCGTGCCGGTTGGGCTGGTTTCTCTCCACACACATGTGGTAGCAGAGACTACCAGCACCGCTGCCTCCAGGACACTTCAGGAACAAAAGCTCAGGTTTGTGGTTTCTCCTGGGGAAAGGAGGGCTCTCAGGTTGAACCTGGTGCAGGATACTGCCAGCCGACCACAAGCACCAGGTGCTTGCTACCCACCCAGGGGTGCACCCCAGGCCACACAAACTCCAGCACTCACCAATCACGGTGGGCTCCAGGTCCACGAAGATGGCCCGCGGGACATGCTTCCCGGCCCCGGTCTCGCAGAAGAAGGTGGTGAAGGAGTCATCCCCTCCACCGATGGTTTTGTCGCTGGGCATCTGCCCGTCGGGCTGGATGCCGTGCTCCAGGCAGTACAGCTCCCAGCAGGTGTTGCCCATCTGGACGCCGGCCTGGCCGACGTGGACAGAGATGCACTCGCGCTGGGGAGGGGGAGGCAGGGTCAGATCCTGGCACGGCTCTGTCCTGCCCATCCCAGGGAGGGCTCTGCCTGGTGCCAGTGCCACACAGCCACCCGCACAGGACCTGCTCCAGCCAGTGGCCCCAGGGAGCACATTTTCCTTTGGGTGACCTCCTGCCTGCCCCTGAGGGGCCCCACACGGCTGTCATTGCCCTTGGCCATGCACAGGCACTGTGCTGGGTTGGGAGCCAGCTCTGGTGTCCCTCCTGCCCAGCCCTTGCTGAGGGCCACCAGCCCCACGGACTCTGGCCGGGCCTATCCTCCAGCAGCGCGGGGAGCAGAGCCTGGCCCAGCTCCCCCGTCCCAGCCGCCCTGCCAGGCTCCCTGGCAGCCTCAGCCCCTTCCCCATGCCACAGCAGCCCGGCAAGGTGCTGAGCTGATGCAGGCACATGTTTAACCCACGAGGTGCAGCCAGCACAGGGGACCCCCCCTGCTTGCTGCTCCAGAGCCAGGTAAGCACTCAGCCTCCTGGGGCAAGGGGTCTTGGGGATGCAGGGGCAGGGGGTGGCAGCCAGGAGAGGGCTGGTGGTGAAGCCCAGCAGTCTCCAAGGCAGCACAGAGACTCCCTGGGCTACGCAGTCCCAACCCCATGCTGCAAAACTTGCGTGGGCAGAAGTGCCGGGGAGCGGGCTTTGAGCTGGAGATGTGCCTCCTGCGCTCCCATCCTGCAGGTGCAGGTCTGCCCCACTGACCCCGGCATCCTTTCTCCACTAGCCTCAGCACCCTTGGTCTCCTATCCCTGGCAACCCTCTTCTGCTACCCCTAGAATCCCCGCTCTTCTACTCCTGGCATCCGTCCTCTGCTACACTTAGCATCCCCGCTCTGCTGCTCCCAGCGTCCCTACTCCGCTACTCCAGCACCCCCGCTCCCCCGGGCAGGACACCACAACTCAGCCTGGGGGTCCCCGGGGCTCTTCACTCCCTCGTTCCCCCACCGCGCCGGGGGTCACAGGCCCCCCTGCCCCCCCGGGGGGGGCCGGGGCAGCCTCAGCCCGCCGGGAGGAAGGGCTGCCCGGGGTAGGGTCCCC